TCTGTCTATCTATCTATCTATCTATCTATCTATCTATCTATCTATCTATCTATCTATCTATCTATCTACCTATCTTTTTCTGTTCTATCTGTTTTCCTTTGATTTATTATATAATTAAAAAAAACCTTGCTACGTGCACTGCGTTAAGCTAACTGAGACTTGTCATAGCACTTACATATCATTGCTCTTTTGTTAGTTTTGATTGCTTCCATTGTCCTCATTTGTAAGTCGCTTTGGATTAAAAGCGTCTGCTAAATGACTAAATGCATATGATGTATATTAATGTATGTATTAATAATGTATATTAATACATTTAATTTCAGTGTAAAGTGTTGGTCCTGAAGTAATTTCAATAAAAGCAAAAAATATGTAGATATGAATAGTTTCTCTTGTGTGATATTGGGCTGATGTATTGAATGTTTCTTCATCATCACGAGCAGGTGTAGAGCAGCTCAGCTGGAGATTTTAGCGCACAGATGAAAGCGGTCTTATTCTGGCGTGTTTTATGACAGCGGGCTTCATTACTGCGGTTCTCCCTCAGGAGGCGAAGCTGCGGGAGCTGCTGGATGTGGGGAATCTGGTGGGCCGGATAGAGAACCGGATGCTGACGGTGGTGACGGGGCCAGACATGGTCAACATCCAGTACCTGAACTTCATGGCCTTCCAAGAAGATGTCGCCAAGGTGCGTGTGATTAGATCAGCAGATAATCACGATACCATAGAAGAACCTTTCTTGTCTAAATGGTTCCATAAAGAGCCTTCAACATCTGAAGAACCTTTCTGTTTCACAAAAGGTTCTTTGTGGCGAAAGAAGGCTCTTCAGATTATAAAAAGTAAGAAAGAGATGGTTCTTTAAAGTTCTTTGTGGAACCAAAAATGGTTCTTCTATGGCATCGCTGTTATGCACCTCTATTTTTAAGAGTTTATTTGTGGCAGTGAGATATTTGTGCAACGTAAATCCCAGTCAGGATGCTTGACCTGGATCGTTTTAATGAAATGTCTGTGTTTGTGCGCTGTCGCTGATGAAGGAGTGGGCAGATGAGCTCTTCAGTCTGGCGTCTAACCTGCTCGCTCAGAACATGGGCCGAGAGTCCTGTCTGGAGAAAGCGTGAGTACCTGATGCTCACATTTACCTGCTTCCATCAGGAGGCCGCTCACACCTCAGTCACGTGAGGAAACTGTACTGGATTTAAAAGAATATACAGTAACACTTAAAGCCTTTGTGTGTAATGCATTATAAATGTATTCATAATGCATGCTGCAATGCATTATATGATTTCATAAATAATTGTGACCAAAAATGCATTAGAATGTTTGTTTGTTGTGTGTTTTAATGCATTACACTTTCTAAAAGTCTAACAATGAAAAAAAAGTGTTATAATGTATAATGGTTACAGTTATTCATGAGATCATACAATGCATTATAAGGTGCATTACAAAGCAAAATGAATGCATTAAAAATACTTTTGTAATGTATTATATAAAGTCTTTAAGTAAAGTGTTACAGAATAGGTTTAAATAAATAAATAAATTAGTACTTAAATTTGTAAACACATTTATTATTATTATTATTATCATTGTTGTCTGTTTTTATCTAACTATATTATATTTATTATATATAATATATTCTTATATTTTTATCAATTTAAATATATATATATATATATATATATATATTTAATATATTATAATCTATATATCTATCTATCTATCTATCTATCTATCTATCTATCTAATATCTATCTATCTATCCGCATACTAGCAACAGTAACCACCCAGAACAGCTGAAAAAAAACATTCACTTTGTGAATATTACAATGGTTCATATCTTAAAATTAGGTATTTTAGGGTTAGTCCTGGAAAAAATGATGGAAACTACATTTTCCACAAAAATACCACAGCTACAATTTTGTTTATTGTTTTTTATATTAGTGGAAGCTAATACCAGTTTAACACAGTATATTGAAGTAACACTATCTATCTATCTATCTATCAATAAACATAATCAGTAAGTCATGTAAACACACTTTCCTGAGAATGACTGATGTACTTTATCCGTGGTATTGTTTTCTCTCCAGCTTCACGAGACTCAAGCTGCAGACGAATCAGGAGGGTCGAATCCCAGTGAAAAAGTAAGCCAGCATCCGTCTGCAGCTCTGTGTCACATGATAAATGAGAACGTGATCAGACTTTCCTCCTCTGACGTTTCTCTGTCTCTCTGCAGCATCTTCCGCATGTTCTCGACTGACCGGAAGCGCGTGGAGACGGCGCTGGAGAGCTGCAATCTTCCGTCCGGCCGGGTGAGCATATGTTCGGCTAATCGCTCCAGAATCCCGCTGGCAGACAGGAAGACTGCATGTTTCCACAGGAAGTCAATTTGTGGGTTTTACCAAATATGTGTGCTCTCAGATCAAGGAACACCACCTGACAGGATCAAGGGGAATTTACTTGCCTTATCATTTTACGGCAAATCTAGAAACTGAACATAGGACATGGGGAGATTTTCAAAATCAAGAATGTTAAAAGGCCTCGGGAGGGAGAAAGTGTGTAACTAATTAGTTATTTTTTTATATTTGTATTAAAAATTGTTTACAAATAATAGATTGTATTTACAGTGGGTACGGAAAGTATTCAGACCCCCTTCAATTTTTCACTCTTTGTTATATTGCAGCCATTTTCTACCGTACCCACTGTATATGTGTTATTTTTGTCTATTTTATTTCAATTATGTGTTTTTTATTTATTTTAGTTAGTTAGTTATTTTGTTATTTATTTATATATATATTAATTATATTAAATATGTAATTATATATTTATTTATACATTGTTTTTATCTATTTATCTGTTTTTATTTATTTATTTGATCTATTTAACAGTTTTTTATTTATTTATTTATTTTAAATATATTATTTATTTATTATCTGTAATTATATTATACATCTTATTTATTTATACATTGTTTTATTTATTTATCTGTTTTTTATTTTTATCTATTTATTTATTTTTCTATGTTGTCAGTTTATTTATATATATTGTGTTTATTTATCTTATTATCTGTTTATTGTTTTGTTTTATTTTATTTTATTTATGTTTTCCTCTTTTATCATTATTGATTTGTTTATACATTGTTTTTACCTATTTAACTGTTTTTTATCTTCTTTTTACTTATTTATTTGTTTATTTGTATCATTTTTGTATTTATTTATACACTTATTTATTTATATATTATTTGACCTATTTCTTTGTTTTTCCCCCCTGCTTTTTAATTCCTAGCATCAAGGGAATCTGTTGGTTTGCTTTATCATTTTACGGCAAATTTAAAGGTTGAACGTTGAACATGGGGAGATTTTCAAAATCCATAATGCTAAAAGGCCTCAGGAGAGTCGGGAGGGGAAAAGTGTGGAACTAATGAGAAATTCTCACTGTGTTATTCTGGCTAGCCTCCACCTCTGACTCACTCACATTCACATCCTTTCATCTGTTTTTTCTTCTTTGTTTGCTGCTTTTATATTTTGTGCGGTGAAGCATTAATCAGCCACGGGCGAGAGCTGCATGTTTTGAATGTTCACTGCAGAGATGAGCGTCTGACAGCATGTGGACGACATGAGTAATGTTCGCTCGCTGATGTTATTGAGTTTGTCGTAACAAACCAATCGATTCGTTGTCAGGTGAACTAGATGCTTCTTAGGATGAAATGACCTAATTAATTTTGAATTCAGCTTAAATATTTTAGTTTCTATTCATATGAGACCACGTGTTATTAAAGGCAGGTTTATCCTCTCTGTTTTTGGTGATTAATTGCTGGTGTCAGACTGAAGACTGCTTGTTAAAGGCTGTATTTATTTCATGATTTGATGGTCTGATCTTGTTCGTCTCTGCAGAACGACTCCATCCCTTTGGAGGATTTGACGCCTGATGTTTACAAATCGTTCATCAACAACCTCTGCCCACGATCTGAGATCAACCAAATATTTGCTGATCTGTAAGTCTTTATGAAGCTGTTTTCAGCTGATGCTGTAGCTAATGATGCCTTCAATAAAAAAAAAAAAGTCTAATCAAATAAAAATTGTTTGTTTGTCTGTTTTTTTATGATTTCATGTATTTTTCTAATTTTTATATTATTTTTTATTTGTTATACTTTTACTTGTTTATTTGTATTTACAAATTTAATTATTTATGCATTGCTGTATATATTTATCTGTTTTTTTTTTCTGTTTCCATCCATTTATTTATTTGTCCATTTTTTCCATTTTGTTTATATTTTATTTATTTGTTTGTTTGTTTTTTGTATTATTTATACATTGTTTTTATCTGTTTTTTTATCTATTTATTTGTCTACTTTTTCTATTTATTTGATCCTTTTATCTGATTTTTCCTGTTTTTATGTATTTATTTACTCATCAAATTTTTCTATGTATTTTTTTTCTGAATGCTTTTATGTTCATTTTAATGTTTTGTTATTTATTCATCCATTGTTTTATCTATTTATCTGTTTTTCTTGATTTATCTTTTATTTATTTTTACTTTTATTTATCTGTTTTTATATATTTATACATTTATTTATACATTATATATTTATCTATATTTTTCCTGTTTTTATGCATTCATTCATTTTTCTCTATTTTTCTCATTACAGTGTAACTATGTATGTATGTATGTATGTATGTGTGTATTACTAAATAATGTTGCCTTCAAATCATGTTGGAATGATATTATGAGACGAGTGCATTACAGTGTTGTAATTAGTTGGGGGCGTAACAATTAAAAAATCCTGATGAAAGATAATTGGTATTGATCATAACCAAGATGTTCCTTTAGAAAAAATCCACCTTGCTGAAAGTCATTGTGTAATTTGCATGCTGGGATGATGCAGTTGCTCATCTGTGTGTTATGATTATCACTGTAAACCATATGCTCTGTTATGGATCGCCTGTCTCTCTCCAGCGGCGCGAAGAACAGAAACTATCTGACGGTGGATCAGATGACAGAATTCATCAACAGCAAGCAGCGAGACCCGCGTCTGAACGAGATCCTGTACCCACCGCTCAAACCTGAGCAAACCCAGCTGCTCATAGAGAAGTTCGAGCCCAACGCAGCGGGGATTCAGAACGGTCTGTCATTATTCATAATTCATCCACTCTCACTCCCATTTTCTTCTGTGGAGCACAATACAAACTCTTTTCCATACGTTTATAATAATTTTATAGATAGGCTGAATGTTTTGGGGGGGGGGAGTAAATCGAATGTGTTTTTATTTATTTGTTTGTATATTCATTTATTTGTTTGTGTTTATTAATTAATTCATTATTTAATTCAGAGATCCGAGTTTGCTGTGTTTGTATGTGGGGCTGCAAAATTTTGCCCCCAAAAACCTTATTAGGATTATGTATCAGTATGACTTATGAATTACAGGACTACTACAACTAATAAAATGATCCATTTACTACTACTACTAATAATAATAAAATAGGTAGCAAAATGGAATATATTACTGATTGTTATAATACTTTCACAATAAAACAAAAAAGTATTTAATATATAGTACTATTAATAATCATCATCATTATCATTTTTAATCATAAGAAGGGCTGCAAAATATGGCCCAAAATATATTAGGATTATATATCAGTATGTTTATGAAATAATAGCACTACTACTAATTATATGAATAAAAATAGGAATAAAGAAAATTATTAATATATTACATGAGTAAATAAATAACAACAATAAAAATTATAATAATAACTATTTATATTATAACTGTAAAATTAAATTTCTAACATTTGTCTTAATTTCTTAATTTCTAAGTTTTAACCCGTCAAGCTTTTATTTTGACAGAAAACCACTTGACACCCTTAAAGCTTCTCCATTTCTAATCGAGCTCCGTCTGTTCCCGCCATCGTGCTAATATGAAATCTAATCCCTCATTAGTTTTTCAACCCAACTTGTTGATTGACAGCCGCATTAAAACACTGATGGATTCCTGCGTTTCCATGTTCAAACGGCAGACACCTCGGGATTCAACCAGCAACGATCCCGTTATACATCCCATCTGATTTAAAGGCCTGTTGCCATGGATACATTCATATAAGATGCCGTTTGAAAATATTACACTTTACAGAAACATCAGTCACATTTGAGAATTTTCCTCATGAAAGTTTAATAATTAGGCCTGAAACATTGTTGCAACAGCTAAATATAAACATGCATATTTTTGTCAGATATTCGTAGTCATTTCGTCTTTCTCAGGAGGTTTGCTGTCTGTCAGCGAATCAGCACACCGGGTCATGCATATTAATTAGATTGTGACTTTTGCCCTAAATGATATGCTGAAAATATGATGTTGGAGCAAATAATGGAAAAACATAATACTAATAGTTAATATACTTACGTTATTTAATATACAAACAAATATACTAATTCATTCTACACTGAAAAGTATAGATATAAATAGTTTAATCAGATTAAAAAGTGGTTAACATTTTTGTATTTTTATCACTAATTAAAGGGGTCATATGATGTTGCTAAAAAGAACATTATTTTGTGTATTTGGTGTAATGAAATGTGTTTATGCGTTTTAAGGTTCAAAAAACCTTAAAATTTTTACAAAGCTCATCGTTCTGAAAAGCGAGGTGTGCTGTGATTGGCCAGCTATCCAGTGCGTTATGATTGGCCAATACCTCATACTGAATATCACCATACTGTGATGCCCTGTCCGGCCGGAGCGACGAGACAAAAACATGAAAACCCATTATAAACGAGGCATTCGTTGCATCCAGTGGGGACATAATTACGGATTATAATGACTTATACTGTCTTTTTACACGTTGCGTTGCATCGCGCCGCATAAACATAAAACCATGTCTGCATTTGTGATCGGAGAAATGACAAACAACAAGCACTACTCTACACTGCTCAAAACTCACATTTGAATCGTCAGTGGCAAATTCTTTAAATATAAAAAACGTACTTAGGCTTGAGATTGGCGCGGCTGGCGGATTCGACGAAGGAGCGGCCGGCGGGCTTGTGGCAACCACATGTGACGACCCCGGGCTGGACGTCGGCTCCGGCGATCCACAGCACGAAGTTGATGTATTTCCTCAGCGACCAGCACGGATCAGCTCTAGGCATGACGACGCAGATATCGTCCTCTTTTGGAAGACCAAACAAAGTAGTTTCGCTTTCACAACGAAACACACAGTGCCTTCACGACATGGCAGTGGCGGCAACAACAATACTACAGCGAGAATAAAAGTTACGTCTTCTTTCTTTGCGTGAACATTTGGGCAGCGTTTATGCAAATCTTTCCACATCGTGGCGTAGACGTGGGGGGCGTGTTAGAATGAGCCGTTTTAGGTAGGCGTGGTTGACTCTTAACTTTTATAAAGAATATCTCTTTGGATTTGAGACTTTAGTCTTTGCAACTTCACAGATCTTCTTTATGCACCAAGAGCTTGTAACACTCCAAAGAGAAAGGAAAACTTGAAATCGCATCATATGACCCCTTTAAATAAGTATTAGCATTTATTTTAGTACAGCCATGTCCATATATATTTTAGCTGCTGACCAAAACATATTAAAGTTATAGTTATATGGCTGAGTAAATCTCCTGATCTCAACCCGATTGAGCAGCATTTCACTCGCTGAAGACAAAACTAAAGGCAGGAAGAGCCACAAACAACAACTGAAGTCAGCTGCAGTAAAGGCCTGGCAAAGCATCACAAAGTTCTCACATGAGTCCAGACTTAAGGCAGTCATTGCCTGCAAAGGATTCTCAACAAAATATTAAAAATAAATATTACATTTGAGCCTCAGAAAATGAGGGGACTGTGTATAAAAATGGTTGTAATTCCTTATATTATATTTTTGTTCAACCCCTTGAAGTAAAGCTTCAAGTCTTGATTGTTTCATATTAATTCTGTTCTGGTGGCATACAGAGCAAAAATTATGAACATTTTGTCAGTGTCCAAATATATATGGACCTAACTGTAAGTATATGTTTCAGTTAGGACATCTTATAAGGCAGCTGCCTGCGTAAGAGGCGGACAGCAAGGAAGTGCACTTGTTTTTGGAAAACAGCCTTTGAGGTTTCTTATTTTGCAGAAAGAAAACCAAACCTCCATAACATTCTGCACCGTTTCATTACCATAGGAACAATAACTCACGAGATGCAGTCCGACGCTGCAGTGGAGCTGGTTTATTTATATCTTTCGGAGCACAAGGCTCCACGGGTAAACTGGAGATCAGGTCACAGGATGATAATGTGTGACGGCTGATTGATTAGGCACATTGAGTCCAGAAGGGCCAGAGATGGATGAGGAGGATCATCGGGTTCTTTAGCTGCCGGTTCAACATGACACCTCGCTGTCATGCAGATTACAACTCTGTTTTCTCAGTGCCATCTCAGAGACAGGCAGAGGACAGTCCACCGCCCACACTAGACACGCCAGACACACGAGATGCTCATATTTGCATGATATTGATCGTAGATTTGGAGGAACAATCGGGTTGTAAAGCAGGAATGGTCTGCGTTTGCAGGATTACATTGTGTCCGTGCAACATTCATTGTCTGATAGTCAATAAAAGCTGGAGACGAGGTGCTTATTTTTGTATTTGCCTGTTAAAAAAGCATGTTTCTTTAAACCTGTAAAGCCTGACGTAAGAAATAATCACTTTTTTTTTATGGAACAGTTTATTGAACCTTTAGACACAATATAAAAACAAATCTTAAGCAATGAGGTTTCATATGTGTTTTTTGTTGAGTATCGATCCATCAGGCTTTTATGGCTCATATAGTCTGATATAGTGAGGAAAATACAGATCAGTTTTATTCAGAGACTTAAACTGAGCAGAAATATGTAATTTGCTGCAGATGCTGATAATGCTATGATGAAATTCTGATGCTTGTAATGTAAATCAATGAGATCTTTGTAACGGTAGAGCAGATATTTGCATAAAATTATATAAATATCAGTCATCACTCTGTAATAATATGTCTTCGTAAGATGAGATGAGATGATCCAAACATATAATGCAATGCAATCCAATGATAATTGAGAGATGAAGAAATAAACGCTCCTCAAAAGCCTGATGATCATATTTGAACATGATTCAATTAATATTATTTTAAATAAATAAAGATGATGTTGATGATGATTCACTCAATTGAAGTCAGTGTTATTCTTGCTAAAACTTAAATCATAAAAATGTCATTAATTGAAAAGATATGTTCAATAAAATTAACAAAATGAACTAAACCTAAAACGTAATAAAAACAATATAGAAAATAAATAAAGTGAATAAAACTTTAACTAAAATTAAAATGAAAACAAACTATAACACATTAAATCTAACTCGAAATATTAAATAAACTAAAACTTAATAAAAAACAACATATAGTAGACATATAATAAAATAATAATAAAAATGACAAAACGCAACAAAATTACTAAAACTTTCAAATGAAAATAAAAATATAAAAATCAAATCAAATTCAAAATATTGACAAAAACTAATACTATATCAAAGGTACTAAAATAGCAGTTAACAGTCCAGTAAATGTTCAACTTGAAATATCACTAACAATATCAGTTATTCTTACCTCTTACTAAAAATCAGTAAAGATTTGACAGCAAAAAGACCGGTGAAGCAGCAGCTGAAGGTGGACGTTTGTGCAATTAGACTAAAATACTTTTTACTTGATAATAAAGTCAAAAATATCAATCAGACTTGAACAGCTGCAAGTTTTGATCATGTTGATCATTTATATTATTAAAAAATAGCAAATCAAATATGATACCATAGGGCTAAAACTGTTTATATGTGGACAAGACCACAGGAACCAGTTGAGTCCTCTGCACAATCTGACTTTGCTGCAGACTGGAATTGAACTGCTGGTTTTGTCTGGCCTGAGGAGAACTGGCCCCCCGACTGAGCCTGGTTTCTCCCGAGGTTTTTTTCTCCATTCTGTCACAGATGGAGTTTCGGTTCCTTGCCGCTGTCGCCTCTGGCTTGCTTAGTTGGGGACACTTAATTTCCAGCGATATCATTG